CCCCCCTTCTTTTTGTGTTTGTAACTCTCTTGTAACACCTTTAATCTTCGGCACTTATATGACCTTATTGTGTTGCAAGTGCCGCAAAACTCTGACTAAAAAACTAAAACCCTACAAGGACCAAAAAGCAACAACTACGTACAGGCTTCCTCTCGGTCTGGCCAGATTTTTTCCGCAAACAAGACCAAAGCTGTTTAGCCGAAATAATCCGAGGTTTAAACGAATAAGTTATGAGCAAAACACTTCAGCGGATCGCTTGCTTTGTTGCCACAGGCCCGCTTTCGCTTTGCCTCATTTGCATATGGTGGGCTTCGAACAGAGCAAGGGTAAGTCTTCATATTTACTTTTTCAAGAGCAGAGAAAACCCCCCGCCGTGCCCCAAGAGGAATTGTTTGGTTCCCTTGTCTGGGATAGGTTTCAGTTGTCGTCGGCAATCTCTTCAAATGAAGAAATAGGTCGTGTGAGTGCCGGGAATTACATTTTTTTTTAAAAGTATACTTTTTTTTGACGCCACACCGACACAGTGTAAATCATTTAGGAGGCGGGCTTCTGACCCTGTTGTCATTGTCAACCCGAGCTGAGAGGGATGATACAACGTGCCGGCAGAAAGACGAATAATATTTTTTCCCCATCTTGGGAATCGAACTCTGGTCTCTTGCGTGCGATAGCGAAGCGCCAGGCCGCTATATCATGATATCACAGACACCGGTAAAAGATTGGAGGTGTGACTAGAGAGGAACATACAGAGGAAATAAGCTGAGAATAATTAGAACCGACAGATGCTTGTTTGTGGAAAGAAAGAGCAAAACCCCCACCAGAGCACCTGCCCACCGCCCACTTGTTTGTTGTGATAAACAAGACAAAACAAAACCAAACCAAACCAGCCCTCCCGCCCCCCCCCCTGACCTTCGACCAATCAGGTGTCGTGTGCGGTAAATGACGTCACAGGCCTCATTAGGCCATTTCCTGTGATACACAAGATGGCGGCCACAGCTGTTCTAGTCTGGTTGTCTGCTGCTGTCTCTTCGCTACCTCACAATTACAAAGATCTATCTGACATTTACGGCTGTTTTGAGTTACTAAGACCCTGAGGTCAGAAACCAAATGCTCTATCTGCTCTATCGAAATAGTAAGACCATTTTTTGGAGTCATTATCAAGTTATTTAAAGAATTGCTTTAATAAAAAAAAGCTTGCCACGATGTGAAACTTAAAGTCTTTGACGTCAGATTTCTCCAACTAGGTACTGAGCAGATAGGTCTGTGTCGTTTTGGGGTAGCTAATTGTTGTCATCTGTTGACTTGTGGGTTTTCCCTCTTAGTCGGCTAGGCGCTGTGATTGAAGTATGGATGGACAGATGGATAGATAGATAGATAGATAGATAGATAGAACGAGAGAGAGAGAGAAAGAGATAGATGAAAGAAATATATATTTGTTCTTTTAAATGCGGCGATGGCGTTGAAAGCAAATGGGTGGAGTCACGTGTGTGCTGGTTATGTACATCGGGGGAAATTTGACCCAAGTTCCTTAAAAAAGAGACAAGTAGCGAGAGCCAAC